CATTGGCATAGCGCATTCTACAAGAGTGCCTGGCCGTGAGACAGAAGGAGGAGCACCCGGCGTTAGCCGGGTGGTCCGGCTGGTCCTTGACATAAACGGCGTCTCGACTTGCAGCGTCGTGCTCCATTTGGACTAATGAACTGAGTTTCCATTTTGAAGTCTTGTGCTCTCTTATGGTTAGTAACGTCTTGCGATGGTGGTGATTTCGGACGAGAACTTCGGTATAGCTGTATATGGAACTGAGTAAACATTTCAGGGAACAGGCTTGGTATCAAGTTTCAGACGTCGCAGTAAAAGTGTGAACACTGCTGTGTGTTAATCTTCTAGCGCACAGTGAGGGAGAGTTCAAGATGCTGAGCGTGCTTTAGAGACGTACCACATTAATCCTCCCCTTGGGAGACGTAGTGGCTGCTGGGCGTTCCAGTCCAGGCCCAACAGCGAAGGCGTGTCGGCTACGTTGCAGTTACCTCGTCCTCATGACCATCGATGACGAGATTCGCAGCGTCCTCGGATGCTGAACAGCTTGTCGTTGGCAGACTTCAGCGTTAGTCGAAGAGGATGGTTTCAATGGGATGCAGTTTCGGGCGACCACTAGCAACCCAGCAGTGCTCAACAAAGTTACGTACACGGAAGCGACGTCAGTACGGATCGAAATGGTGATGACATGTGGGCAGAACTTCGCTTCAGTTGCGTCTCCTGGATTCCTCTTCCTCGTAAAGTTCTTGCGGAATTCTCGCTTGTGGCCGATCACTTTATAGTCGCAACACGCTTTTTTCAAGGAAGTGCAATTCCTCAACCGGTGATTTGCTCCACAGCGAATCAAGGTGAGAACGACGACGCATTCTATGCCCTCCTGGTTATGAGAATCGACGGCATTGACGTGAGTGGAGTGGCTCTTTCGAGTAGTGCGGCATAATGGCGAGTAGAGGAATTGCTGGATCTCACCGCCGACTTCCCTTCAGCGTTGTTCTCGAATTGTCTCCCATTTTGCGAAGAGCGCGTGAACCGATGTCGGCATCCTCAAGTCGGATGCGTATCTACATGAGGCATTAGCTCT